CCCGTCGCAGCGCCTCCCGGGGGCGACGCGGCGAGTGACGGGGCAGAAACCCGTCGCGCGCCTCGGGGCGCACGGCGGGCAGAAAACCGCCGCGCGCCTCGGGGCGCACGGCGGGAAGAAAAACTGCCGCACGCCACGGGGCGTGCGGCACAGAGAGTAGCAGTAGCAGTTGCAGCGGAAGCAACAAGGTGGTGAGCCCACCCACAGGATCGATCCAAGGGGATCGACCTGCTCTGATAGCATGTTAAAGTTTAGAAGAAAGAAGAGGATTGCACTAGCAAGAATGAGGATACAAATAGCAAACCCTAGAAGGGTTGTACTCGCTATAGAGCACCCCACTACAGGCTAGAGCATAAGATAACATTCTGACATGGTCGACTTAGGCCAAGTGCCAAACATTTTTCTTAGTTTTTATGAAATACATAAACAAGACTGAGACTTAATCTGTAACGCATTATTCTCTGCACGACACCTTCCCCACCTCCCCATGAACCACACTGGTCAGCCCAACTCTTCAATTTCCTCGGACCCGTGATTCAAAGATCCCCGAGACTGCTGTACGGTTCCGAGAGTTTTGCCTATAATCGCAGCGTTTCTGTGCGTTAAACAGCGGTGAAATTTAGTGGAAAAGGCCAGCCTTTTGATATGAACCAAGTTCGTGGAGCAATCCAGCAGCGCACCAACCAACCTTCCCGTTTCCTCCGTTTCACGCAGCGCTCTCTCACAATAACTTCTAACCTGCTCTCCTCTTTCCTTGCGTCGATACACGAGATTATATTCGCGTTACAGTCACCGTAGCAGCTTCCGAGAGCATACAAACACTAGCTTTAAAATCTCGCGCTGTCGCCCTGATCCTAGACGTGCTACTAGCACCCATCACACTCCACTTTCCTTGCGTCAGTGTTTCGCAAGACTCTCGTCGTGAAAGAGGAAGACAAATGCGAGAACAGGGTTCTATCTTTTAGCATTTCGCGTGTAGAACACGTGATTAGCATTACAGTCGCCCGATAGTACTGCTTGCAGCGGAACGGCTTAGTATTCTATTCTGCTAAAGAAGCTCGATCTTCTATCTTTTAGCATTTCGCGTGTAGAACACGTGATTAGCATTACAGTCGCCCGATAGTACTGCTTGCAGCGGAACGGCTTAGTATTCTATTCTGCTAAAGAAGCTCGATCTCCTGCCCCCTGCAACGTGCACACGCAACGGCTCTTGAGCACGCAATTCAGCAACGAAGCTGCCCGCCGTACCCACATTCTCCGGATACGTGCGCCAGGCGTCACACGGGCAACACGCGCGCTATCGGGCCGCGTTGCGCCGCGGCTATGGGGAGGCACGGTGGCGTCATGATGGCGGCGAGAGTGGCAATGGTGGCGCTGGTGGTGGCGCGATGCTGCATGCTCCTCGCACGCGCTGCTCCCGTGGTGGACGCCGAGAGTAAGCGGTGTTGTGTGCCATCATACCACTCCGTGACCAGTGTGCTCATGTTAATCTCTCTACCCGCTCTCGCCTCTCCCCTTGGCATGGCATGCTGTATGGCATGGTTGGCATGGGTGGAATCATTCCATGATGGTATGGATGACATGGATGTATTTCAGTGGAAGCTTTGGAGAATATGATAGCACGCGAATGTAACGAGGTGAACGGTACGAGCACATGGAAGAGGGGGGAGGATTGCAACAGCATGGATGCCGTGGAGTGTGATGGCGATGGGCATGTCATTGCACTGTAAGCATGTATCATTGCACTGTAAGCATGTCATTGCACTGTAAGCATGTCACTGCACTGTAAGCATGTCATTGCACTGTAAGCATGTCATTGCACTGTAAGCAAGTCGTTGCACTATAAGCATGTCGTTGCACTATAAGCATGTCATTGCACTGTAAGCATGTCACTGCACTGTAAGCATGTCATCGCACTGTAAGCATGTCATTGCACTGTAAGCATGTCATTGCACTGTAAGCATGTCATTGCACTGTAAGCATGTCATTGCACTGTAAGCAAGTCGTTGCACTGTAAGCATGTCATTGCACTGTAAGCATGTCACTGCACTGTACACCCGACATTGTTCCCTCACCACTGTTTCCATTCTCTTCACATATTTGAGACCGGTATTTCATTCAACTTCAGTCCTCCCTCCCTCCATGCCATCCGTCTCCTCCCACAGCTCCATCAACGAGTGCACCCTCATCAGCTCTCTGCCCACTGCTCTCCTCGCATTGTCCCATCTCAAGGATCTGTGAGACTCCTGCTATGGCCCTCGTTCCATTCCCACTCCCCCCCACTTTCTCGAAGCCCCTTTGCTTGTAAATTTTTGTCCTTGCTTGCACTGACTTATCCTTGCTTGGACAGTCTTATTGTTGCTTGTTCTGTCTGTCTATGTCCATCCCATTTCCCTTACCCCTATCATCCCCATCCATCCATCCGTCCACCCATGTTTCTTTCTCCTGCCTGCATTGCCTGCAGTGATTTAGAGTGCAAATCTGCAATTCCCAGCAAAGAGGGCTGGGAAAACCTGCAGCAGCTCACTCGCCTGTGAGTGCGCTCATGGGGGGGGGGGGATGCAGGTGGGGGGGGGGGATGCAGGTGGGGGAGGAGTGCATGGTAGGCGAATCGCAAGCTGAGAGGGTGAGAGAAAGGGTCTGGGGGTAAGTGAATGATCAAGGTGAGAGAATGGGTGCAAGGGATGGAGCAAGATGATGCCCACTCCATCAAGGACAGAGTTTGTTCCTCCACAGGGACTCTGTGTCAACTTCATGTCTGTCCATCTGAAGGGGACAAGTGAATGATCTCAGGGGAGAAAATGAGGGCAAGGGATGGAGCAGAATGCTTCTTACATGGAGCAGCGGTTGTTCCTCCACAGGGACTCTGTGTCGACTCCATGTCCCAAGGGTCTGTCCATCTGGCCCCTCACACCCCAGCGCCATTATCTCTGTGCTCCCACCTGGACTGGCTGCTGATCCCCACTCCAATCCATCTCCTGCCACTCGTTTCTTTCCTTCAGCCCCTTGTCAACAACCCCTTGTCAACACCCCCTTGTCAACAACCCGTTGTCAACAACCCGTTGTCGACAACCCCTTGTCAACAACCCATTGTCAACAACCCGTTGTCAACAACCCCTTGTCAACAACCCCTTGTCAACGCCGACTCCAAATCGTTCTATGCTGCAAAGTTCCTGCACCAGTTCAGGCAACGCTGGTCGGTGGCCCTGCAGAGGGCCCAATCCGTGGGCCTCCTGCTCAAGCTTGGAGAGGCTGCGGCAGTAGAGCCGCCTGTGGGGGGGATTGGGGACGAGTTGCACCTTGGGGACTGCTTCGCAGTCATTGAGCCCCTTGTGGAGTTGTAGGTTTGTGGTGCTTGTGCTTTACATGTGTGTTACCTACGACTCTATGACTTGCATGCTTGTACTTGCCGACTATATCAATACAAGGACCATTAGAGAGAGAGAGAGAGAGAGAGAGAGAGAGAGAGAGAGAGAGAGAGAGAGAGAGAGAGAGAGAGAGAGAGAGAGAGAGATAGAGAGAGAGAGAGAGAGAGAGAGAGAGAGAGAGAGAGAGAGAGAGAGAGAGAGAGAGAGAGAGAGAGAGAGAGAGAGAGAGAGAGAGAGAGAGGCACCTTCCCTTAGCACCTTAGCCTCTCAGCCTCTCCAGCCGCTAGTATAAAGGCTTTTGGGCCCTGCTCTATTGCTCATTAGTCAGTTGTGAAGTTCTTTTCTCCAACCTAGCGGCATTTCAGCCCGTACCTGACGATTTTCCAACGTCAACTGTTCGAATTGGCGCATGAGTTGAGCAAGAGCATTGCCCATGTCGTTGGGGAGAGCGTTCATGGTCTCGTCCATGTTGGCTCGACGACTCCAAGTCTGCAAGTCAGCACCGCGGGACGATGACGTCGTAGTCTCGTCGTCGACGGTCGCTCGTTGGAAGTCGCTCCCCGCGAAGGCTCTTGATACCAAGTGTTAGGCCCCTTGGCCTAAATCCGCTAAAGATTAGCGGGGTCGACTAAATCGAGGATGAAGCGCGGCGGAAGACTTTGGCGAAAGAACTATTGGCGAAATAGGCGAAGATGTTACTGAGTAATTGAAGAGTTGAATGAGAATTGGTTGATAATGGCAAGTACAAGCAAGGTTGATATAGCATGCAAGAGCGATTGTCGAAAAGTAGTTCGTGGGACTACGAAGTAGAATGCAAGAAAGCTAGAGTGCCACGTGGCACAAGGAAATCAAGGAAATCCCAAAGGGATTTGGATGGAGATAAGGTTGGGATTGGGTTGGGGGACTGTTTAGGGTAAAATACCCTTGAACAGTAAAGTACCCCGTAACACATTTGTTATGGTCTATTGTAACAGAATATAAAGCTAAAGGCATTATATTCTCTTACATGCTTGTGAGGTGTAGAGGGGTGTAGCTTGTAGTATTAGTTTCAGCGAGGGCTGGTTGGGTTCTTGAGGGTGACGCGAAGTTGGTAGTACAGGGAACTGGTGGGTACAAAGTGGTGGGATTCAGGAAGCCTCGAGAGACAGGAAATCAGAATCAGCCAATCCTGGCTCAGGCGACTCGAGCCCAATTCACTCGCCAAGAAATTGGCAACACGGATGAGGGTGAATAAAGTAGCTTAGCGTAGCAATCGCAACCTTGTTCTCTCTTTTTGGTTGCCTCGTATAGTGGATTGAAGTTGCCGTTTCAAGCTAACTCCAGCTAGGTAGCTCTAAGCCACTGTGGGCAGCCATCGAGTGGGAGCGAGAATCTCTCACAAACGAGAGAAGGAATTGGCGGTATGGACTGCTACGAGCTGCGCTGGCAGCGAACGTATTCGCGTCGGGAAATTCCGCCGTCGCGACGGATGCGCTCACAGGAGCGGGAACGATCGCCAGGTCGCTCGCCTAAGAGAGAGGCGGATCGGGCGGATCGGATGGCAGCTGGTGACAGGCGGCGCGATGGAGGCGAGACGATCTGAAGATGAGATTGGCGACGAGGCCTCAGCCGTCAAGAAGCGGTCCCTGGGATCTAGCAAGAGGCAAGCGGGGCGCGGGTGGAGGGTATCATAAGGATGCCGACGAACTGGACTCGCAGGAGTCGGCAAACGAGGTTGACGGCGAGGAGAGCACGGAAGATGTCCCAATTGCGCGGGACGGAAGGAATGAAGGAGTCGCGGGAGAAGAACGCGACGAAAGGTGTAAGGACGCAGGGGCAAGTGGCTCGCTGGGAGGGATACGCGGAAGCGGCGTGAGGCGTCGCGAGGACACGGCGGCAGATTGCTCGCCGGACGACAGGCGCAAGGGAAGCGCGAGGCGCCGCGAGAGCGCGGATGCAACTGGCGCGACGGACAAAACGGATGGGAGTGACGAAAGGCGGCATGGCAGCGCTGATGCAGCTGGTGTGACGGACGAAACAGATGGGAGTGGCGAAAGGCGTCATGGCAACGCGGATGCAGCTGGTGCGACGGACGAAACAGATGGGAGTGGCGAAAGGCGCCATGGCAACGCGGATGCAGCTGGTGCGACGGACGAAAACGAAATGGGTGGGAATGGCGCGAGGCGCCGCGGAGAAGAACGGGCGGATGCGAAAGAGGACGATCTGCGAAGCGATGGCGGAGATGGACACGAAGAACGCGGATGTGTAATGGAAGCAGATCGTTCGGCGAACAAGATGCGCAAGGGTGGCGCGCGGCGCCACGAGGACATGGCGGCAGATCGCGCGCCAGTGGAGATGCGCGAGGGAAGTGCGAGGCGCCGCGGGAGCATGGATGCAGATCGTTCTGCTGGCGAAATGCGCGGGAGTGGTGCGAGGCGCCGCGGGAGCGCGGATGCAGATAGTTCGGTAGGCGAAATGCCTGAGAATGGCGCAAGGCGCCGCGGGAGCGCGGATGCAGACCGCTCGCCAGGCAGGCTGCGCGGAAGTAACGCGGGGCGCGGTGAAGGCAAGGAGACTGAGCGCGCGCCAGGAGCCAGCCATGACGAAGAGAGGAGGCGAGACGTGCAGGCGGGAGTGTATGGCTCGCCTGAGCCGAGACGCGGACATGAGCGCAGGAGGCGCATGGCGTTGGGCAGATGGCGATCACCAGAGTAGGGGGGAGAAGGAAATGAGGACGCCCGCGAGAGGAGGCGCGTGCAGTGCTCGCCTGCACGACAGCGGACGGAGGAGAGGGAAGCTCATGTTAACGGCAGTGAGTGTTCGTCGCAGTACATCACGGGTGCGGATGCGAGAGCGCGCCGGGAAGGAATAGAAGATTACCCATGCGCGGGAGCGGGGTTGGTGCAGGAACCTGTCGGAGAGGCAAGGAGGAGGCAGGAGAGAGAGATAAACAGGAGAAGGGGTGAGGAAGAGCACTGCCGGCGAGAGGTGTCCCCAGGGAAGGACCCGGGAAGTGACAAAGGAAGAGGAAGAGAGGATCATGGGCACCGAGGAGCAGGCAGACGAAGGAGACGCTGTGAAGGAGAGTCCTTTGAGAGGAAGGAGGGGAGGGAGAAGAGGCGAAGGAGTGATCAGGAGCTGCGTGAAGAGAAGGAACATGAGTATAGTGAAGAAGAGGACTATGGGTATGATTTGGAACGGTGCCGACGCGGGAAGCCGGAGTGTTGGGAGAAGAAGTCATGCCCTGAAGGAAGAGAGGGGTACAGGGGAAGGCGAGAAGGGCGAAGGAAACCTGGAGCGGGGGTGAGGGAGAAGCAGGACCTGAGCGGACAGAGGAAGAGAGGTGACAAGCAGCACATGCGACGGGAGGGAATGCACGAGTATGACACAGAGAGCGGGGAAGAGGAAGAGAGTGATAGGCGGGCACGCCATGGATCGAGACAAAAGGAGGAAAGATGGGAAGAATATTTCCCTGGAAGGAGAGAAGGGCTGAGGAGCAGGCAGGAAGAACGGAGAGAGTTTCGTGAGAGAGAGGACCGGCAGCAGCGGGAAAGGAGGAAGCGAGAAGGGCGATTCCAGGATTATTCGCCTGAGAGTAGGGAAAGGCGATGGGGGGGAGCAGGCGGGCGAAGAGAGGCTCACGAGGAGGAGCGGAGAAGGAGTCCGAGTCCGAGGGGCCCCAGCAGGCCACGGCAGACAGGAGAAGGATCCAGCGAAGCCAGAGCTGCTAGAGAAGGGATAGACAGGGTACTGTATGGGACAAGCACAGTCAGCAGGGGAATGAGGGACCACAGAGGAGAAGTTAGCCGCACGGAGCGAGGAGCAACGGGAACATGGGACTCAGGGAAATGGGGCACGCAGGCGCCACCACAAGTAGAGGTGCCAGTGCCCTTCACGGGGAATGAAGGGACGAGCACTAACCTGAAGAATTATCTGATGCAGATTGGGAATGTCAAGCACAGGTGTGATCGGAGTGGGATGGACCCCATCGACTTCTTTTTGAGTCTGCCGAACACTTTGGGTGGGGAAGCAGAAACATTGTATCGCATGAAGATGCAAGAGTGGTTGAGGAGGGCAGAGAAGGATGGGGACGACCCTACGTTACTGTTCCGAGAGCGGCTGCGCAAGCAATTCCCAGGACACACGGTAGAGCGAATCAGGGAGTTTCAGGACTTCAAACGCAGGAAGGACGAGTCGCTGCTGACGTATTATAGGCGGCTCATGAACCTGGCCAAAGATGTGGTGTGTATCGACAGCAGCATGCTGATCAGCAAGTTCCTGGCAGGATTGGACGACGGGCTGGCCGGAGGACGGGGCAGAAGCAAGCCTGGAGGAAGTGTTTGAGCTAACAGAAAAGGTGGAGCTGGCACAGAGGCGTTATGAGGCATACCTGCCAAGGGCGGCTGAGAAGATGCGACCCACCTGGGCGGCAGCAATGATGCCAGGGGCGGGAGGCGGAGAGGAGCAGCAACATGAGAGAAGGACAGACACGAGGACCTGCTACAGGTGTGGAGAGCCGGGACATGTGAAGTTGAACTGCAAGAAGTGCGACGTGTGTGGGAAATTTGGGCACCGCCGTCAGAACTTCCCTGATGCGCCAACCTGTGAAGTGTGTGGGAAGAGGGGGGCATCAGCAGAAGGACTGCTATCAGAGGACGGGGGGAGCAAGGAGGTCACAAGAGGAGATAGAAACAGAGATAAGAAGGCTGTGGGCTCAGCTGCAGGCTTTGGGAGGCAAGACAGAGAAAGAAGCAGGAGTGTACGCGAGGGAAGAGGAAAAGGAGGAAGAGGAGCAGGAGCCAGAGTACTCCTGTGCGGTGCTGCGTCGCCATGAAAACATGGGGTGGCGCAGTGGGGGTCGGGACGGACGAAGGAAGCAAGTGAGTAAGGTGGGGGCATGGGTGTGTGTGCAAGTAACACCAGAAACGAAAGGAAAGAACGAGAAGGGGGAGGCATGGGCGTGTGTACCAGCAGCAGCGGAAGCAGAGGAGAAGGGCGAGAAGGTGGGGGCATGGGCGTGTGTACCAGCAGCAGCGGAAGCAGAGAAGGACGAGCAGGTGGGGGCATGGGCGTGTGTACCAGCAGCAGCGGAAGCAGAGGAGAAGGACGAGCAAGTGGGGGCAAGAGCGTGTGTAACAGCGGCAGCGGAAGCAGAGGAGAAGGACGAGAAGGCGGGGGCACGGTCATGTTTAATGAAGGCAGAGAAGCAAGTGCGGGGAAGTATGCGGGCGGAGCAGCATGTGAGGAAGCTGAGGGGAGAACGTCCAGAGCTATTGGGAGAGAAAATGGCAAAAGAAGAAGGGAGAGAGCTGAGACGGGTGCGAGGAGCTTAAAAGTAGAGATGGCGTGCGACTAGGGGCCAGGAGGCCTACGTGTAGGAGGATGGGAAGGTCCAGTGTGGGACATAGCCCAGGAGCAGGAGGAAGCAGAGAGCGAGAGCAAGGAAGTGGGGGCATGGGAGTGCCTGCCTGCGGGGGAAGAAGTAGAGTATATAATGGGAGATGCGATGAGTCAGGAAGCAAAAGAGGCCGTGAAGACAGTGAGGTGGATGAAGGGAGGAACATGGGGAGATGAGCCAATGCAGCTAGCATCCCAGATGCTGACAAAACCCAGGGGAATGGAAGAGGCTGAAAAGTGGGCGGCTTGGGAGAGAGGCAAGGCAGCAGGATACCTGAAGGAAGTGATGCCGACAGCGATGGAGGACCTACATGTGGTGCAGTTGGGGGATGCGTGCAGCAATGAACAGTGGCAGCAGCCAGGTGGCAGAGGGACAGAAGAAGCAGTTGGGGTAGGGCGGGCAGAGACAGACAAAGCAGGAGACAACAGAAGTAGAGCGAAGAAAAGTGAGGGGGCGGGTGCAAGCGGGGCGAAGTGTGGGAGTGCTGGTGCTGGAGAAGAAGAGAGAGCTGACCGTGGCAAAAACCAGACCCACAAGGCAGGGATGAAGAGCAGCCGTCCTCAGCTGGGAAGTCCTGTGTCTCGGGCCCGAGCAGCTCGAGCACGAGCACAGGAGGGGGGAGGTAGTGGCTGAGGATGAAGAAGGGAACCAGGGGACAGGGACAAGACAGATGCAAGGGTGAGAAGGAAAAAGCAGCAGGAGAAGCAGGTAACGCAGGAGGGGTTTTCCGACACTATGTTGTGTGAGATAGGTTTTTGAGTCGTGAAATTCCAAAATCTGTATGTGAGCGCTGTGTGGGATCGACGGGCACTCGTTGTCACGCCTCTGATGTCGCAAACTGTCACATATGATAGAGTTGTATTAGAATCCCAGCCGCTCGACCACAGGGATAAAAGGGCTTGTTCCGAATGCGGTTCAGTGCACCCAAACCCCCACAGGCTAACATGCACATAACCCTCATAGGATCAATTGGGGATCCCTAATGCCGAACTTCAGACACCCCCCACACTTCGGCAACATGCGCACACATAGGGATTTCGAACCCGAGACCGTTCGCTCTGATACCATGTCAGAATCCCAGCCACTAGACCACTGGGATAAAAAGGCTTGTTCTAAATGCGGGTCAGTGCACCCAAAACCCCGAGGCTAACATGCCTGTAACCCTCCTAGGATCAATCGGGGAACCCCAGTGCCATTCTTCTGACAAGCTGTTCTCAAGGCAGTTGTGGTGGAACAGACACAACACAAGTTGTTAGCCTGAAGGGTCATCTTGGCCGGTACGGTAGCATCGAGAGGAAGAGGGAATGATGTGGGAGTAGCATGAGGGAAAGGGGAATGATGGGACAGGAGTAGCATGTGCATGCTGAACTGGATACGATGTGTGAGTTAGGAATTTGAGTCATGGATCCAATTTTTGTATGTGAGCGCTGTGTGGGATCAGCTGGCATGCTTATCCTTTGATTCCTTATACCTCTCTTACGTGTGGACACAGCGGTTAGGTGAAACAAATGTTAACGTATCAAGGCATGAGAAAGATGGCTCTATAGGACCGTTGGTAAACACAGGAGGGAAGGGGAGCAAGTGGTGTCACGGCGTAGGGAGAATGGGAGGAAGCAAGTGGATGGCAGCCATTTAAAAAGGCTGATGAGGTTGACACCCTTGAAGGTGTAGCCGCCACCAAGGAGAAAGGAAGAGACATGTGGGCGGCAGAAAGATTGGCGATGCGAGCAGTATGGGTGGCGTTTCAAAGAGAAGAGATGGGTAGGTACTGGTAGTGCTGACAGTTGTTGGATATGTCTAGATGATGACAAATTAGAGCAAAGTGCCCTGCATGCAAAATTTCTCTACACCCAAAATCAAATTCTATCTAAACAATCAAGTTTCGAAAATAGGAGGTCGTCTAAAGAAGGGCAGGTATTCTCTTCGCCTGCAGTGATCTCTTGGAAGACATACAAACCGTTCCTACACGGCAGTGAACTGTTGGCAGTCCGGCAGCAAGTGATCTCCACACCCAAAGCAGATTGCCGGGCAGCAAGGGCTCTCTTTGAAAAAAAGTAGCGTTTCGGGGGTCGAATCTTGAGGCGCCTCAGAAACCGTGTGAAGGCCAGCAGCAGCAGCAGCACTGCCAGTGGAAGCATCAGGTGCAGCATCAGCAGATCGTGAGGCGCAAGAACATCAGACAAAGCCATCCCCACGGCTGCAGTGGCCGGTGGAAGCGAGGGTGTGAGGAAAGGCGTCAAGATGCCACCCAGTGCTGGAACGCCTGCAGCTGCAGCAGCCGCGCCTCCAGCTCCCTCAGCTCCACCTGTGGTCAGGAGGGAGGCTGTGGGGAGCCACAGGGAGGTGTGGAAGGCGGAGCATGGGGGCCATGGGTACAAAGGAGTGGCATGAGTTGCAAGGTGCATGGCACATGAAGCACAGCAGAAGGATGTCGCAGAAAAGCGGATGTGAATAGGCATGTGGCACGAGCACATGAGCTAGTGATTAATGCGCCTTGATCATCCTTGAACGAAGGGAGCTGTGGTGGAGGAGGTATGGGTGAACGTAAAGTGAGAGCAGGTGCACAGCAGCACGAGCACACACCATGCTGACGCAGTGCGAGCAGTGGAGTGGAGTGGAGTGGAGTGGAGTGGAGTGGAGTGGAGTGGAGTGGAGTGGATGGAACCAGGTCCGGCTTGGTTCACTCCACTCAACTCCACTGCCCACTGAGCAGGTGCAAAGCAGCATGTGCGCAGCAGCAGGTGCTGCTGTGCACCATGAACCTAGCAAGCAGGCATGACAGCAGGTAGGCATGGCAGCAAGAAGGCATGGCAGAAAGCAGGTATGTTGGCAAGCAGGCATGTTGGCAAGCAGGCATGTTGGCAAGCAGACTTTGGAAGACAAGATGCAGCTGGGCCGAGCTTATGGCTGAAAAGGAAGAGAAAAGGAAGAAGTTATCAACTAGACATGCATTCGCCATCAGGCATACCGTGAGGGACGCACGTGCCAGCAGCAGGCCCTGGCGTGTACCCCTCATCACAGTCGCAGTGGCCCTCGGGTTCACAGTAGTGTGGCGGCAGCTTATCCTCATCATCATCACAGGCAGTCATGTTGTGATTGGGGTCCGGCTCGAAGGAGCACACGCCATGGCCGCTGCACGGCGGGGTGAGCGGCTGCGCCCCACAGAACGCCCGGCACTCGCTGGCACACCTCTGGTTCCGCCCGGCTCTGCTCTGCTTGGGCCCAGGGCTGCACCAATAGGAAATGTCTTCAAGGCAGTTGTGGTGAAACAGGCACACGCTGTGGTAGTCTTGATAGATGTCTGGGACTGAGTCGTCGGTCTCGTTGAAAGGGTAATCTTCTGCTGCGGCTGTGAAGTAGTTGTTTTCTGCCGTCGCGATAAAGAACATGTAAAGGAAGGAGGGCAGCTCTCCCGACAGCTGGTTGCCTTCAAGGTGGCTGGAAGAGAAGAGGGGAGGTGGGAACGGAAGAGGTGGGAAAGAAGAGGAGTGGTGGGTGATGGTAAAGAGGGAGTGATGGGAGGGGGGAGAGGGAGTGTCAGTCAGTGAAGGGACAGGAGTACCGTGTGCGTGTTGAATGGGATGGCATGCCGATGCTGGCCGAGAGGGCCTTTTGAGTTCTTGTATCGTCAGCGCTGACGTGCTTAGCCTTCGATTTCTCGTATCATCTCAAGTGTAGGCAGAATGGGATTGGGTAGGCAGAATGGGATGGGGTAGTTAAGAACGGATTTGGGTAGGCAGAATGGAATCGGGTAGATGAAAGGCATTAAGACATGAGCAATGAATTGACTTAGAAAGGCCTTTTGGGTCGACATGAACAATGGTAAGCTCGGGAGGGAAGTGGAGAGTAAGTGGTGTCCCCTCTATGGTAGAGGAGAGCATGGGATGGGATGGGAAGTGGAGAGTAAGTGGTGTCCCCTCTATGGTAGAGGAGAGCATGGGATGGGATGGGAAGTGGAGAGTAAGTGGTGTCCCCTCTATGGTAGAGGAGAGCATGGGATGGGATGGGAAGTGGAGAGTAAGTGGTATTCTTTCAAAAAGACTGACCCTTCAAGGTGTGGCCTTCAGCAAGCAAAAAGGAAGAGACGGGTGGGTAGCAGAAAGAGAGGTGAAAGCGAGGTGATGCGAGGAGTAGGGGTAGCGTTTCATAGCAAAGAATAGCCATCCAGAGATGATTACTCGCAGTGATTGCAGCTGGTTGCTTTTGAAACCCTCAACCGGAGGTGACCCAGCAGACATTCTTTAGGGACGACAGAGCACGTAACACTGACAAGTTGTTTAGAAAGAAGTAATTAAATACACCACCGCTGAGCAGAGTAAACACTTCAGCAGACACTTGAGTGTGGTGACAGCAGAGGAGGTAACACTGACTGACAGGAATAAGAGATTCGTGAGCGTGGTGAAGACAGCAGGTATCGTTCCTGCAAGGCGATTGTTGCTGAGTCTCCTGAAGGTGCGTGGGTGAATGGACATGGAGGGAAGGTGAGGAGGCACGCATGACTCGTGCGGGCATGCATGCCTCGTGCGGGCATGCATGACTCTTAAGTCATGGATTGCTATGCACCCTGGCTGGGCAACAGTGGTCACATCACAGGCGAGTTAAACTTGCCTCGTTACGAGTTTTCTTGTTTTCAACTTGGCAGAGTTTTGAAAAGAACTAGCCTATAAAGGAGAGTACCGAATCGAGCCGGATCCGAATCGAGTGTAGAAAATCTGGGGCGACTTTCACTCGACTGGCCATAGTACTTGGGCAAGTTCTGTACCCGGCGAGGCGAGGTTTACTCGCCTCGCACGTTTGCTCATGAGTGTCAGTCAGTGCTGTTGCTGAAAGGTGTGTGCCTTGAGAAACACACACCCGCACCAGCAGACGGGATTGCCGTCCGCAATTGGTGCCTCCACGCTCTCCCATTCATGGCCTTCTTCTCCCTCCTCTCCCTCCAATTCCGTCCTCATCCTACTCCCCCTCTCAAACCCCCGATGCTTGGCAGAGAGAGGCAGGCGGAAAGAAGTGATGGAGAGGGGGGGTGGAGGAAGAATGGGCGCACAGGCTCTTGAGCGCGGTGAGGTGGGCAATGGAGGCGGGAATGGTGCCACTCAGCCTGTTGCCTTCAAGGTCCCTGCAATGGCATGAGGTTGGGATGACAGGGCATGGAATGGAATGGAAAGGGATGGGATGGGATGGGATGGTATGGAAAGAGATGGGATGGGATGGGATGGTATGGAAAGGGACGGGATGGGATGGGATGGTATGGAAAGGGATGGGATGGGATGGGATGGGATGGGATGTGATGGGATGGGATGGGATGGGATGGGATGGGATGGGATGGGATGGGATGGGATGGGATGGGATATGATGGGATGGAAGGCGAGGCCATTAGCCCACAGGGATGCCTCCACTCGCTCACTCACTCACCCATTCACTCCACTCGAATGGTCCTTCATTAAATAAGCAAGATAGTACAGCACATTCATAATACAGCCATACAAACAAGGCAAGGTAAAACTAAGGCATCTCAAGCTCGGGCTCGAGCACGTGCATAAGATCTCCCGTGCTTAGGGGCTGCCCCTGAAGGGCCGTGGGGGCTGACCCAGCAGTAAATGCCGTCAAGGTCTTGGCAGCTAGCGCGGTTGCTTGCGCGCGTTGGAGCGTGATTAAAAAAACGCTGCCGGTAAGAGTAATAGATTTTCGCAGCCTCCCTAGAGGAAGGCTCGGCGTTGTGGAGGCGCGCTTATCGGCGAGGTTTGCGCACAGGCGGGATGGGTCGGGATGAGATGGGATGCAATGGGATGGGATGGGAGGGGATGGGATGGGATGGGATGGCATGGGATGGGATATGATGGGATGGAAGGCGAGGCCATTAGCCCACAGGGATGCCTCCACTCGCTCACTCACTCACCCATTCACTCCACTCACTCAATCACTCACCCTCTCATCCCCTCAAGCATTCATTCACCCACTCGTCACTGACTCGCCCATGCCCTCTCTCAGCATCTCACTCTCCCACTCACTTGCTCACTGGGGGACCCATCATGTCACCACGCCTGACCATCCCACACCGCCTTGCATGCCTTCCCTGTCAGAACTTAAGCTTAGAATCCATACATTAGTAATGAGCTCAAGGCTCTTTAAGTACATCAGAAATGGGCAAGGTAAGGATGGGGAGAGAATCGGGGGCAATCCTAGGGGATTGGGGGTAATCCCAAGGCAATCTCCAATTGGTGGGTTGGAGATTGCTTGAAAATCACATTTGGGATTGGTTGGGATGTGGGTGTACACCCAACCAAACACAAAGTGTACATTACACTAGGATATAAAAGTGCAAGTACAAAATGTGAGATTGATGGCTAACACTAACACCCCCCCATAGGCGTCAATCGAACTCAAGGAGGAGAAGGTGGGGCACATAGCCTCATGGTGCCAAGGAGACGATGGTGAGGAACCTTTCCAAGGGGCTTGGTGAACAGATCAGCCAGGTTGCAGTCAGATGCAACGTACTCCACGTTTAGCTGTTCACGCTGAACAAGGTCACGAATGAAGAAGTGGCGAAGTTCGATGTGCTTGGTGCGAGTGTGGTACACTGGATCCTAGGAAAGGTGAATAGTACTCTTATTGTCACACCAGAGGGTGGGGGTGGGCTGCGGGGTAGCCAAGCTCCTGGAGGAGGAAGGTGAGCCAACGGGCCTCTTGAGCCGCCATGGTGCCAGCATAAAGATCTGCCTCACAGGAGGAGAGGGAGACTGCAGAGCGCCAGCTAACAACTTTACTGCCAAGGGTGAAACAGTAGCCCTGGGAGGAGCGGCGGTCGGTCTGGTCATCAGCCCAAGAGGAGTCAGATAAGCCTTCCAGGCGAGGAGAAGAAAGACCACCAAGTGTGAGGACATGAGACTTGGTGCCCTTCGAATAGTGCAGCACCCGCATAGCCGCACTCTTGTGAAGTTCGGTGAAGCGTCCAGGAGCCACAAAGCGAGAGAGGACACTGACAGGGTATGCCAGGTCAGGCCGGGTGCACATCATGGCGTATATGAGGGACCCAACAAGCTCTGGGTATGGCTCGGAGCAGGCCTACGGTGTGGGAACAACTGGAGCTGTGAGGAGGTGCTGTAGTGGTAACGGGGTGGCCGAGGGTGTGCACAGCTCCATCTCGAAGCGCTTGAGAACATTGTTCATGTAGAACTCCTGGGAGAGTGAGATGGTGCGAGCCTGACGATCACGAGTGATCTCCATCCCCAGGTAGTGCTTGAGGTCACCGAGGTCTTTCATCAGGAGGGCCTTGCTCAGGGCCGCCTGGACAGAGGTCATCTAAGCTGAGTCCTTGGCAACGAAGATGAAGTAATCGACGTAGACAAGGATGTAGAATGGCTCAGAGTGACGGCGAATGAAGAGAGTCGGGTCAGCAGATGATGGGTGAAAGTCCAATGAGGGAATAACTTTTTTCACTTTATTGTGCCATTCACGAGGGGCTTGTTTGAGGCCATAAACAGGGAGATTTAGCTTCCAGACAGTGTTGGGAGGGAACTCTCCTGGAAAGCCTTCAAGTCGGTCCATAAACATAGTCTCCTTGAGGTGTCTTTGCAGGAATGCGGAAGAGGCGTCCATGGATTTGATCTCAAAGTCTTCTCGTGCGGCTACATCCAAGAGCGTGCGAACTGTGGGTGGTTTGGAAGTGGGAGAGAAGGTTTTGAAGAAAGTACTGCTGCTAAGTGAATCCGTTGGCCACATAGCGCGCTTTGAACACTGGGGCCTCGTCTGGAAGCTGCTTTACTTGAAACAGCCACTTGCCCCCAACGATGTTAACTCCTGGAGGTGGAGTTTCGTCGTCGAAGGAGTGGTTGCAAGTGAAGGCTTCACACTCAGCTTCCATGGCAGCGCGCCATTCGGCAGCATGGGGACCCGAAAGAGCCTCTTGGACGGTGAGAGGGATAGGGATGGTCGGGTTCTCCGAGAAGTTGAGCGAGGGTGATTTAGTGATATCGGGGAAGATGTGCGAGAGCTGAGGAATGACAGCGTGGAGATCACACAGCTCCTCATGCCTGTCTTCCAGAAGGGTAGACGGCACACCCCTTTAGCAGGAGGAGTCGGATTAATCACTGAGCATCGAATGGCGAGTGCTAGTGGAGGAGCAGCCCCATGCGACCGAGTGCCATGAGCCACCGGAGAGGAGGGTGGAGCAGGCGTGACTGGAGGGGACGGTTTAGGAGGCTTGGGGGGAGGGAGCGGCCGTTGCTGGTACGTGATCAGTTCGCTCGGTTGCGGGAGAGCAGGTTCCTGAGTGGGGGAGGGAACGGAGTGAGGAGGTGGGGCTGGAGGGTTCGACCACCGATGGTATGTGATTGGTGCGCTTGGTAGTGAGGGCGCAGTTGGCAGAGTGGTTGAGGGGGGAGATGGAGGAGCAGCTGCCGAGGACACCGGAGAGGTCGGGTCAGAGACCTCAGACGGAGATGGTGCGATGGCAGGAGAGGTAGGAGGTGAGGGAGCTGGTGCGGGCGGAAGTTCAGGAGGCGCTTCAAAGTCAGGCCACACAAGGGATGGTTCGGAGGGGGGGTCCACCCCCGGGGTGGAGTAGAAGGGGCCTGTGTGGAGAAAGACGCGTCCTGCGTCCTGGACGCATGCGCCCAGACGCAGCGTCTTAGACGCAGGACGCTAGAGGAGGGCCTTTAGGACGCATGAAAAGACGCATGCCCGGGCAGGGCATAAAAAACCCCCGGGCAGCCGAAAAATGATGTTATAGGGTATGATAAGGGGGGGGGAACGACGATGCACACATTTGAGGCAAATCGTCCCCTTCAAATTTTCAGGGTTTAGGGTTTACGAAGGAGAATTGTCTTGGTAAATCCTCTAGGGTGTTTTTGATGGTCGAAATGGGTTAGGGGGGGTCGACATGACGCGAAATTGACAGTCGCGTCGAAATCGTTAAAGTCAATTTCGCGCTGGGGCAAAATTTTTTTTTTTCCGGTCAACCCGAAAAAAACATTCGGGGTGCGTCTTGCGTCTGAAC